GGGCTATGTAGGAGGCTTCTTGTGATATAATTTTTTCATCAATTAACATAGTAGTTTCAGTGTAATTCTTGATTAATTGAAAAAAGCTAAAATGACCCATTTTTGGGGTAAAATTTTGGTTGAGAATTTCGGAGAAAAAATAGCACCATATTAATTTTGATGAAATTCTAAGCACCTTTTGTTCTCTTCACTTTTTGTCTAATCTTAACCCAATTTGAGAAAAACACGTTTGAAACTTCAGGTTTTGTTCGTTTTGTCCGGACAATTTAAATCAGCACTGTATGCAATAAGCAACCACAGCATCAAGTTATAGGAATCCATAACTCTAATGTGTTTGCCCGTATGAATGAGCTGCTTACGTTGCGTATTTATAAAGATTCAAATGGCTGTTATCAATAATCAACTAACAATCATAAAATTTGTCGGGGTCCCTTTGTTGCACTTGATGGTACGTTGCACATACAAACTGCCTCCTCTGATCTTTACAGGTAAATCTCAAACCAGTCCTGACATTGAGACACACGTATTTCTTCTTGGGGTCCATATTGGGCTCATTATCATCCCACCCCTCAAATGAAGTGCGATATGGCACCTTTATATGTGGATACTCACTCAGTACCATATCTACATAAAGAAACTCAGGACGGTGCATTCCGATATGAAACTCAGCCTGATCTTTTGCAAATTCACTCTTTGTAAGGTGCACCATCTCATCAGTGGTGAACGCTACTGCTAAACCAGCAGGTGTCTGATCGAAGTCGTGGTCGGTGTCTGTTATATGAAGATAATACTTGCAATATTCTCTCGCATCCAGCCAATTTAGTTTATCCGGATATCGTGGCGAATAATAAGTCGCCTTTGTTAGGTTTCTACTGTCAACCCATACTTCACGGCTGCTAAAATCTAAACTTCAGAAACGCTAGAAAAATACATTATAAACGAACATTTGAAAAAGAAGGACAAAATGCATTTTGTTGGTTTCAGAATTGCATGTCATTGACCAGATCGAGATCATCTTTGTCTTTGCAGATAACAGCGACTAGATTTTGAGAATTCCGCACTATCTCGACCAAAAACAAGTATATCCAGTTGTTTACAGTTTTTTTGCGACCGGAGAAGAAGAAGGCACCGCAACTTTTGCGTACGACTTTGTTGGTAGCGATGAATTTATAACGACGCATATCCAATTTATCCAATTGTTGTGACTTATTTCCAAAATAATGCAATTTGGTTATTATTTCGAAAATAATGCAATTTAGCAATATTCATTTCCTGCAATTTTTGTGACAAAAAACGTGACGCGACTTATAGTTATAAACATAGCCAATCGAAGATTGGAAAAGAGTAATGAACGCAAGTATAAATAAAAAACACTAACTTTCTTGAAAAAATCTCAACTTTCGAATTCAAAGAAAAAATAGCTGCCCTTCAAGCTCTTTGAATTTCTAGAACAATTTATAATTGGTGGCAGTTTTTGATAGCATGAATCCAGCCAGAGAAAACTGGATCAATAGGTTAAGTTTTTATTCCGCTGGAAATCTAAAAATTAAATTCTAGAAGTAGCTGTAAAAATTAAATGAACTAGAAATAGTTCAAACTTTTCCGCGCCATTTCCACGTTCGTCTTTGGAGATTGTTATTTACGTTATTTTCAGCAGATGAATTTCAATTGAACTCAAAAAGTGCTCATATATATTTAAGTGCATGGGCGAATTTAGAGGGGACGCATGGGGCGGACGCACCTCCACTTTCAGGGATTCGACCCCCTGGCGACCCAAAGGGTACCCCATTTGTGCTATTTTGAGATATTAATTTTTGGTTATGGACCCTAATGTTTTTCTAAAAGCACCTTTGACCCCAATTTATACTAATTTTGAGGGGGAGCGCGCACCGATAAACCGCGATTTGTTGGTCAAGTTTTCCAAAAAGTGCCAAAAAACGCATTTTTTGGCCTGTTTTTTTTTCAAAATTTTGCCTGCGGCGCAGAAAATTTGGCCTAAACAGGGTCTTTCAGGGTCTTTGTAAAATTTTGGAAGAGCTCGAAAAATCAGTTTGGTCGACCTAAAAAAAATACAACAAAATCTGCAATTTTTTTTTTGAAAATCCGCCCGCCTCCCCCTCGAGAAAATCCTAGATCCGCCCCTGCCTAAGTAAATTCATAAATGCATCAATATGTATGACTGCACATCTGTATTTATTAGAGACTTTTAAGACTCGCCCAAAAAAAATCAGCAAGACCTATATAAGAGTTTTCACTGCGTTCACTACTCTCAACCATAGTCAACAAACAGATAGTTGAAAAACAGTCATGCAAGCAAAAAATTCGAAAATAGGAAAAATCTTACTATTTGTTCAGGCTCAAATTTACTTTTTTGTAGTCTGACTTCTGATTTCTTGCTTGTTAATTTCAGCTCATTTGCTTTGTTAAAAGGAAAGCAAACGCCATTTTTGAACAGCAAAGCTCAAAAGTCACAAAAAATGTGATCGCCTTCTAGCTTCAAAAATGGATTTTAATTATCAAAATTCCCCAAAAAAAATTGTTCCAATTTGAGAAAATTTGATCTATAGGTAAATTTTTTATTTTGTTCGGAAATACCATAATTAAATTCCACTTTAGGAACTAGAAATCAATCACGTTTTTCGTGACCTTAGAACTTTTGCTGTTCAAAAATGAAGTTTGCAAACTTTTAACAAAAATGAGCTGAAAATAAAAAAAAATCAGACATCAAACCTCGAAAAATTACATTTAAGCCTGAGCAAATTTTAACACTTTGCCTAAGAAAAAAAACAAAAAAAAATCGTTGCCACCTATATAAGAGTCTAAACTATGTTCTTTAAATTTCGAGTCCTAACACAATCTGAGAAAGTTGAATCAATATGTAAATTTTGTATATCGCCGGGAAATCTGAAAATTGAAAACCAGTTTTAAAACTAGATTTCGATCGCAATTTTTGTAATTTCTACAGTTTTGCAGATGGATAGTGAAGTTTGCTTTCTTTTAACAAAAGAAAAGAACTGTTCTTACACAAATCAAAAGCTAAACCGCGGAAGTTTCAATTAGAGCTGAATATATAAGAGCATCGACAACGTTCATTACTCTTAAACATAGCCAGCAGACACTTGGAAAATTGTTAAACAGGAAACGATCGCTATGGTTGCCGATAGGTAATTTTTTGTTCCGCAGGGAATTCAGAAACTTCATTTTCGTGACCTTTTGGTTTTTTCCTCTTTGATAATAGCGTTTGCGTTTTTTAAAAAAAAACCAACTAACAGGCAATACGTCAGAAAATGTTAATGGCTTCAGAAAGATCTAAAAAATGAGTTTTAAGGAAAAAAAGTATCATCTCAAGCTCATCGTGAAACTTTAATAATTGACACGTTTTTTTTAATATTGCACTTTCGTTATTGAAGAGCCTAATTTGTCTTCCTTTTAGCAAATGAAACTGATTTAAACGTAAAGTTAAATTAAAAGTTCAGTAGCAAAAATTAGGTTCATCGTGAACAAATTGCATCATATTTGCTTGAGAGAAAAAAACGAAACAAAAACACTTCGACCAAAATAATGTTCTCTATTGTGTTCACTGACAAGTAAAAACATAGCCAATTGACAGTTGGAAATGTTTCAATGAACGCAAGAAACAGAACGAATATACTGTCGTGTTTTTTTTTTTTGAAATAAAAGGAAATAGTGGATTTTTCTATAGACACATAAAAAACTTTATTGATCATACACTTATATAAAAGTTCTTTCACAAAAACACCACTTGAGAGAGCGCCATTAAACTATTAGATAATTTTTTCGAGCGTCTCAGAGCTAGAATAATTGTTTTTGATTTATCTTGCACTAAAAAAATAGAAGTCGACTTACGCAAAAAAACGACCCTGATGATTTTTCGTTGAAAAATAACAATTTTTGATTTCTCTGACAGAGTTAGATTTGGTGCTACCTGAAACTCTGGACACGAGCCATCAGCATCCAGACGGCTATGAAAGCTTGAATTGACTCACGTTTATCAGACAACTCTAATGTCGTTCTTCGAGGTCTTGGTAAAGTTTTCCTCGGAGAAGGAGTTGTAGTGGAAGTTGTAGAGCTAGTCGTACTAGATGTCGTGCTAGACGTTGTACTCGAAGTAGTTGGCGATGAAGTGCTTGAAGTCGTGCTTGACGTTGTACTCGAAGTGGTTGGCGATGAAGTGCTTGAAGTCGTGCTTGACGTTGTACTCGAAGTAGTTGGCGATGAAGTGCTTGAAGTCGTGCTTGACGTTGTACTCGAAGTAGTTGGCGATGAAGTGCTTGAAGTCGTGCTTGACGTTGTACTCGAAAAAGTTGGCGATGAAGTGCTTGAAGTCGTGCTTGACGTTGTACTCGAAGTAGTTGGCGATGAAGTGCTTGAAGTCGTGCTTGACGTTATACTCGAAGTAGTTGGCGACGAAGTGCTTGAAGTCGTTTTGGAGGTCATAATAGAAATTATCGAAGACGTTTCTAAAAGCTTATTAGTTTTGGTCTTGTAAAACGTGGGAGACGAAGTGCTTGAAGTCGTACTGGAAGTCGTGGACGACGAAGTGCTTGAAGTCGTACTGGATGTCGTACTCGAAGTCGTGAGCGACGAAGTGCTTGAAGTCGTACTGGAAGTCGTGGACGACGAAGTGCTTGAAGTCGTGCTGGAAGTCGTGGGCGACGAAGTGCTTGAAGTTGTACTGGATGTCGTACTTGAAGTCGTGGGCGACGAAGTGCTTGAAGTCGTGGGCGACGAAGTGCTTGAAGTCGGATTGGAGGTACTGGATTTCATGGGAGACGAAGTTTGAGATATGGCCGAAGAGGAAGCCATAATAGAAGTTTTCATGCTGGTATCAGAAAATGATCTTGACGTTGTATTTGATGGCATACCTAGAGCCGAGGTGGCAGGCAAAACCGAGGTAGCAGGACTCGGGGATTCAAAGGGTATTGTTGCGCTTATTGGTTTCAAATCAGGATAACATATTTGAACGTTTTTTTCTAGTTCTTCTTTACCAAACTCGCTATCCAAAATTAGTTTCGCAGCGTTTTCTTTTCCTATTTTTGAGCAGCAGAAAATAGGCCAGTTTCTTTCTCTGCGACCTGTAAATGTACATTTAAACAGAGTTTTGTGAACACCCTTTTGGCATTGATATCGACTCGTCATCGTTATTTTCAGAAAAAGTTCTCGATTTTAACCATAAATGTCTCAATATTTTGTCAAAATGTGCATCTCACATATCCCAGCAATATATAAAATTAAATTTGTCTGAGACTCCGGAAACAATGTCTGAAGTTCTTCTAGTTAAAACCATAAACTTCATATTTTTAAACTTAAAAACACCCAGCTTGGCGTCCATAGAAGCAAAATGCTTATCACACAGTTTCATATATGAAGTCTATGGAAAAATGCTTATCATACAAAATTCATACAAAATTTAAAAAGATTTTCAAAAAATTTAGAGGAAAATTTTTGATTTATTTGCCTCTTTTGAAGTTTTTTGGTCATTAAAAAATGATTCAAAATTTTCGATAAAAAAATGCTTATCATACAATTTTCATGTATGAAAATTATAATATAATCATTTTGTCATAGAAAAAATAAAATTTTCAAATCACCAAAAAACGTGTCTGAGTAACTTTAAATAGATTTAAATAATTATATCTAAGATAGAGGGCATTTTGACAATCAAAAACATTAATTTATTTTTGGTTGGAAAATGCTTATCTAATAGTTTTCATATATGAAAACTGTATGATTACATTTTTTCCTAAAGAAAATCACAAATATGAGGTAAAAAACTTTTATCCCTTTTTTGGTTGCAAACTTACTTTTGTGCTCAAATACAATTTTTACGAAAAAAAAGCCTGCAAAATTAGATTTTTGGTGTTTGTAGCGTAGTCCTGGATGAGTTTTTCACCCAAAAAATCCAAAACTCAGAAAAAGTGCTTTTTTGTAAACAAGAAATTTTTTTGTATCATTTGCTAAGATGAAATTAAATTTGTAAAAAAAACAGGCCTTTTTTCCATCAAAACTTTCAAACTAGAAATTATCTAGCCATATACAAAAAAGTATATTTTTGGTATATAATTTCATGAGAAAGTAATAAAATTAACTTTCATGATTAAAATCACCAAATGCACTTTATCTGCGTGTAACTGCAAGTTACACTCTGGGTTTTCTTATGACAAAAAACTCTGGGTTTGTGTTTCGGATGAAATTCAAAATTTTGAAACATTTTTTTTTGTGTTTTCATTAATGGAGAAATTGCTTGTCATACAATTTCATATCATGAAAAAATGCCTATCATGCAAGTTCATACTATTGAAAAAATGCTTATCATGCTTTGTTCATACAATTGTGGGGGTAAAAGACTGACCAAAAAGCTCAACTTGTAATTCCAGAGTATGGAAAAAATGCTTGTTATAAAATTTCATAATATGGAAAAAATGCTTTTTTTGCTTTTTTCATACACTTACTTTTGCTCAATTAAATTATATGAAAGAGTATGATAAACATTTTACCATATATGAAAATTGTATAATAAGCATTTTCTGTCAATTCGGGCAGTTTATTTTGACGGTCTGGCTTTAAAATGGCTTTTTAGACAAACTTTTAAAAATGTAAAGCTATTAAAATTTGCTGCGCTACAAAAAGCTATAATTGTTTCAATTTTTTCTAAAATATAGACCGGAAAAATTTTGCCTAAATATTTATAATATAGCAAATGCACATGCTTGTCAAAAATTCACAAAACAAATGGTTAAACTTTGATCAAATTTTTATTGTTCCGATTTCTGAAGAAAGTGGGAAATTTATAGAAATGGGGGATTTACTTAAAAATCCCCTCCTTTCGAGAAAGGGGGAGATTATTAAGCAGATTACTTGCAGTGAATTTTCGACCAATCAGAATGCAGCAAAACTCGAATTTACATACAACGTTCTAGAGCGAATTTTACTGTTTAAATTTACATTTACAAGGATTCTTTAGTATGCAGACCAATTTTTAAGAGAAAGCTATAGAGTGGCGTTCGAATTTAAAATCTACTTGTTGCAAAGTGGATGTGCCACGCACTATCCTAAAAGCGCTTTCATCTTACGTAACTATTCGCTTAATGTTTTAAAGGCTTAATCTGTGATGCTGAAAGTGTTATTCCACACAAAAATTTGTTCCAAATTGAAATCGAGAAGCTAATTGGTAAAACTATTTCTTAAAAGACTCAGCAACAGGAACATTCAATCCTGTTTATTTCCTCTGTTCAGGGACCAAATTAACATTTCTCCTCGCCTTTTTAAATCCGTTTAGGGGGGAGGATGTTAACTTGGTTCTGAGTTCGAATTTTCTGCCAATTAGAACTGAGCATTTTACACTAAGCTATTTTAATTTAAATTCAATGCTGGGGTGGAGGATCTTAATTTAGTCCCTGTTCAGTTCAAATAAGCACTGTCAAACAACGTTACGGACAGTGGCGATGTCAAACAAGGTTACGCACAAATAAACGCACTATGTTTAGACTGGCTGGATAGCCCCTCATTGAGCCTCTGTGAATCGCAGAAGCCGCAACTGTTAACTAAGCATTACGTACTTTTTTTGCCAGTGGTAACCATATAGTGGCAATTTAAATTTAGTGTTTTTATTTAAATGTTCACGCTTTTGAGAAAAAAAGTTAGTGACAAGCAACAAATTATCGCAGAAGAATGTGCCGTAATGAGTAGATAAGTTGTTTTAAATACCTTAACTTACCGATGCAAAGTAAGCGAACAACCACGCCTGTGTATGCGTGGTACTCGATAAGAAAATAATTTTGAAAACCATTAGGCAAAAACGCGTTCACTTAGGGCAGTTTTGCAGAAAACTACTTTTTATTGAAGACAATCAAAGCATAACAAGACTGCTCGTATCAGGGCGAAGCCCTGAATGTTCCGACTGCCTTTTAAGGTTTATGGGGCAGTAATAACTTTAAAAAATTAAATGTAATAAAAAAAAACGAATTTTTTTTTTTTGAAAATTGATTTTTTTAAATGAAAATCATCCCCCCACACGCCATATAAAGTACAAAAGGATACATTTTGCTCCTTGTAACAAATCAATTATGGCAAATAAGCTCTTCCAACTAATTTAGAACGATTTCTAAGACGGATTAACACTCCGCTTACGCGTTAATAGCGCTAAATATATCGCGCGTTAATTGTCCCAAATTGGCCAAAATGGCAATCTTTAAACCCCCATAACTGTGCGAAAAATGACCGCATAACAAATCTTTTCAAATTCGAGCTCATGACAACAATATTTTTCGAAGGATATAAAACAATTCCGTCAAAAATGGCTAGTTAAAAAGTCGAAATTTGTCTGAAGAAAAAAAAACCCACCCCGAGCACAAATGTTCCGTTACTTTCGTATCGAAAGTCGGAACAAAAAGTTTTGCCTATTTCAAATGATAAACTCAATTTTGTTAAAGTTGATTTTATTATCTCAAATCAAACCAATGAACTACTATTCAGAAAAATATCGTGACTTGATTTAATCAAAGAGATGAAAAAACAGCGTTAGGAACACCACCCGCGTTAATAATGATTTGTATTACAATTTTAGTACCATTCTTACTTAAATTATGAAAAAAAAAACAGTTTTATCCTCTATTTTTGAAATCCAATTATAATCAATTGAAAAGCATTTCAATCAATTATAATTAATTATTGATCTATCTATTTTTCGAAACAAATATAATTGATTGTACTCGATAATAATTGATTATTTTAAACCCAGTTTCCAAGTCATATTTTGTGCACAAAAATGCATTATAATGATTGTTATTGATTAAACTCCCATTGATTATCGATTTTCCCATTTCGTCTTCGATCTTAAATATGAAATGTTTACAATTTATACTTTTTGGCTGATGGCAAAAATAAGAAATTAAAAATTTTCGAATCAATCAAAATATATAACTTTTTTGTTTTTTCGTTTACCCATTGAAGTTGTTTCGTAATTCACATTTTCAGTTTTTCAACCACCAAAATATTAACACATTGCTCTAGTTTCACGATTCATTCGGAAGACTTTTTTCACCTACCGCGGAACTTTTCAACTAATATGAAAAGATCTCTAGGATACCTTTCCTTCGTGTTAAATTTATGTGTCTAAAAAACCAAATAGTTACAAGACATCTCGAATTTAGAGGTTTTGTTTTTAAGAGAAAAATATTAACCATTGGATTTAAATAAATTAAAATTTTGATGTGAATAAATTCTGAAAAAATAAAAGATAATAATCGGTTATAATTGATTACAATTAATTTGAAGAAATTTTGAATGAAGTTTAAACAGATAAACTTTATTGTAAAAGTTTATAATCTCCTGGAAAATATCACGATTATAATCGATTATGAATCCTTAAAACACCTGATTTTGGTAATTTTAGACAATTATAATTGCCAAAAAAACATCATATTAATCCGTTATAATCAATTGCTTACGCCTTTTTGTGGATCAAAATAAACCAACAGCCATTACTAAAATCAACGTGCTCCGAAGTTTTTTTAACTGGTTGGTTTGTTAGGCCACCATACACCAAGTTACAAAACTGATAAATGGAACTGCTACAAAAAGTCTACGAAGGATACATAATGCAGTCGAAGGCTGGAACAGCGTTTTCCAAAATTGGTTAAGCCAAAAAACTCTCCTTGCCTGCGTTGATAAATAATTAGCCAAACTTTTAAGCTGAAAACTGTGTTGTCATAGTATCTTAATTTAGTTCAAGTTCGATTCCAGTTCCATTTCTAGTTGTGCTATTGATTTCATTTATCTGTCTGGCGCTAACTAGTATTTAACCTTCGGAGTTTGTCTGTCACCTTCGGTTGGCCGCCAATTCATTGTCTCCGACTAACTTTATAACATACGGTTACTTATCTCACTGGATCAATTTAAACTATCGAAACCGTATTTTCACATGGCGCAGTCAACAGGTCAAAGTGGGGGATAAACCCACTGGGGATTACATCGTTTTGGCCCTCGACGTTCGCAGAGCCACCAACGCTATGGGAGTTTTGGTTCAATCGTTTTCAGTGGGGAATGGTGGCCAAACATGGCCTAAATCAGAAGA